TTTACTTTTGATGACTATGTAATTTAACACAGTTGCACACTGTGAAATTTAACACAATTGTAATTTAACACACACACTATGTAATTTAATAAAATTAACACAGTGCCAGAATAGGGCCTAGTTTGGCATGCCACAATAGGGGCTGCCCATTTAGGCGTGCCCACATAGGGCCTACTTAGACGTACCAGAATTGGGCCTCGTCAGATTTACAAATCGGGCCCTGACTTACAAAAGCGTTACATCTCTGAGCAGGGCCTATTCGTGAGTGCCTGAATAGGGCCTACTTAGACGTACCAGAATTGGGCCTCGTCAGATTTACAAATCGGGCCCTGATTTACAAAAGCGTTACATCTCTGAGCAGGGCCTACTCGGGAGTACCTGAATGGGGCCTAGACATAAATGGGGAAAAACTGTCTACGGCCTTCACAGGCCCTTTTTTAACGTGCTACCCGGGTAGTTACAGTTACAAGTAACCAATTCTGTAAATTAACGCGTTACAGTATTTTGTAGAATTATTTCCGACAGGGGATAAATGCGTTTATGCGCAAATGCAAGGCCTAATGCGATCTGTGGAGGTTGAAAAAATATATAAAATAACTATTAATGTAACTATTAAATTAGTTACTAGTTATCGAATAAATGTAACTGAGTTAAGTTACAGTTACAGATGTAGAGAAAGTAACGAAGTTAAGTTAGAGTTACCAAAAAGAAGTAACTGTAACTGTAACTTCGTTACAAGTAACGAGTTACTTCCCCAACCCTGGTATTACAACGCTAAATAATTCGGCAGATTATGGGTTCCACCGAGAGCCTGGTCACTGCAAAAGCAGAGTCTCCGCGTGCGATTTTATATATCGCAGAAGAAGGTATAGCTTCGTCCTTCGTGGTAGCTGACGCAGAAGTAAGAATAAAAATTCCGGAGCCAACGGTTGCAAAGACCGTAATTTTTCTACTCGCTTCGTATTACGTTTGGGATACGGCGTATCCGAAAGCATATGCCAGTACAATGCAATATATTGATTACGAGGTACTTGGAACTATCGTAAAAAAACTGCGTAGTTGAAAAGTACATTCGCAAGCTGAATTATAACGCATTCCGTACAACTGCGTAATTTATGTTATATGTTATATATTATGTTATTTATATGTTATATGTTAAAGGATGAAATATATACATGTATATATATATTGAAAATATGCGCTAATTTTTTTATTACAGCGGCTCTTCTTATCTGCGGTATACTACAGAGGAAAATAATGAGTTACCATAACTATAAATTTTACGAATCGATATATGCTCTTGATAATTAGTTGATACATCAAAGTAATTATCAGGAGGATATATCTATTCGTAAAGTTAA